CTCGGCAACCTCTCCTCTCCCATCCCGCACATGCGATACTGCCAGGTCAGCTTCCTCGCGTCTCTTCCCGACCGTAGGGATTGGATCCCCAATTCTGCCCTGACGGCTGCATTACTTGTGCGCCTGGAGCATCCTAGGATGGTTTTCGCTGCTTTCATCTACGCCTCCTCGAGTTCTTTCACTACCTTCTTATTTCCTTCCCATACTTCTCCGGCGTACTCTAGTGGCGGTACGATTACGCTCTTCAAAACCGTCAATTTGATGCGTGTATCAACGTCCTGGGCGGGGGGCGCCTGATCCCGAACAGTGCCCTCGAGCGGTTTGTGGTAGGCGCGCTCAAACATGCGGTTTAGACGAAAACCGACCCACCCGGCTTTGTGCTTCAGCTAGCGCTGGGAACCTCCATCCCCGACTCCGTGATAGCCCAGGTGAAACCTCGCCGTCTTAGTCATGAGTTAGCCCACGAAGACCTCACTGCTCGCCATGCCGCTGTCAACAACACCAACAGTAGTAGTACTCCNCATGCCGCTGTCAACAACACCAACAGCAGTAGTAGTACTCCGCAACCTCGAAACATGCACATCACGGATTCCATCTCGCTGTTGGTAAACACCCCGAACAACACAGGGGCAATGCAACACCCTGGCACACCGAGCAGCACCGCGGTCAGCCCAAACCTTGACCGGCAGCAGTACAACCCGGTAGACCAGACGCACGCCAGCACGAAACGTTTCACGCTCAAAGCTACGGATCTGCCTGCCTCGATCAAAATCGAAGGTAAAGGAGACGAGGACATTCTTCCTTCTTTGATGGCGCTTTATCGTTCACGTATCAGCCTTCTATCCCGGATAACGACCTTGTAAACTGCCGCAATAGTCCTGTGTCCTACTTTATTCCACAGCACCCTCCAAAGCAACGTGCAACTTCAAATTAGATCTCTACGGTAGCTTGGCAACAAAAATATATCGACACGGACATTGCGTCATGCCATTCACATTTGCGCTATGAATGATAACGTCCTCAGCCTCCTACTATGATAGCGCCATTACAACGTTCTCCTCCTTAAATTATTACGAGAATACTTCACACATGAATCCGCCAGACTACAGGTCGATGGCATATTCCGACTGCAACCTAGCACGAACGCCTTCCTCAAGACCCATCTTACGCAACTCCAACCTAATGAATTCCGGAGCATCTCCCCATATCTTTTCCAACGGCTCCCAGGTACTTTCATCGCGCTCGAATCCGACGCATTCTACCTTGACTTGTACTTTCCGTCCTCGTCAGGATTTTCACCAATGCCTACAATAATAGCAGACATCGCGAACTCGCCCTGTGTGTACGCATGCTGAAACCATGTTTCAACTCGGAAGTCACTTCCAACTCGCTATCCGAAAAAAACCTTAGTCGAGCTACATGCACGTCGTGTACGTCTCCTGAAACGATGTTTTGCACTCTGTATATATACATGCTTACTCTTAGCCTCCACCACTTTCCATAGACCTGTCCACGTCATCATGAGTTTCGACGTCGAACCCGGTCTACGCACCCGCGCCCTGAGTACGAAATCACCAACCGCAAAGTTAGGTAGCTCGCCTCGACTAGCATGCCCCCGTTGTTTTTCACGATTCTGTTTGACCATTTCCTGCACCTGTTTTAGACTATGCATTTCCTGTTGAACAGCCATACATCTGTTAGTGTGCACTGCCGCCCTCAGCGGTCTGTCGTGTTCAGACTGGGTGCTATGTTATCCCAGGAACAGCAGATGAAAAAGGACCATGTATCGTATATCCGTCACGCAAGCCCCTCAGGCAAGCTGGTAACCAACACGCAAGCCCCTCAGGCAAGTGCCGGGAGCACACCCAGTGCTGCACGACTGAAAGAAAAAAAAAGTAAGTACGCTTGTGGAAACCCCTCTGATCAGGCGGCTTGCTTGGCAACAGACCTCCACACCTAGCACCGGCTCTTGAGGGCGAACGAGAGCATAAACTGTCCAGATTTCAAAAGAGGTATATGTAAATAAGATGCCAGGGCACGCCAGGGTATGTTTTATATGTCCAGTTGCGCACGGTAGGGTGAAAAAGTTGGACCTTAGCTAGAGCGTACCATCATGCAGCAGCTCCAAAATCAGGGAGCGAGCTTCACACGTGACCCGACCTCTGCGTGAGGTAGTTGTATTACAGCCTAACTATGGTGCCGCCATATACCTAGGTTGTGTTGCCACCTAATGCACAAGGTTTGAGGCGATTTAGTGCGGCAGGGAATAAGCATGGTGTGTCCAAAATTCAAATTTCAGGAGAGTCTACGCCTTCGGTCCGAACTCAGCCCTCTTGCACGTTGCGCATGTACATCCATCCATTGCATACACCATTCACACCCAAGACACGATGGAAATGCTCGATGCAGTAATTCCAGCTCAGGGTCAGCCAATCACTACGAGTTTCAGTCAAATTGGGCTTCAAGAAGGCAAGTGCGATTTCTTCGAGTTCAATTATTACGCTCGGTGCTTTGCCAATATACGAGCCGAACATGACTCGGGGCGCTTAGCTGCAGACTCTCCAATCCGTGGATAAAGATTTAAACGCCGCAGCATCACAGGGTAAGGTATATTAACTACGTATTTAAACAGGTTTCAGTCCGTTGCGTTTTCAGGTGCATAGGCGCGCCAGTAAAGAGGATCAGATCTTATGCATGGGTTAGAAGAGGCACCGAAGATCCCACCCCACGAATAAGCGTGCGCCTGGCTTAGCTGTACGTTCAAGAGAAACATGTTTTTGTAACTCTGGTCAGGATTCGAATGCATGGACTAACGGTCGGCATAGGTCGAGCTGCTGCCAGATGAATCGTCAGAGACGCAGGGTGGGCCAACAGGCTTGTGGGGTGAACAGCCCCACAGCTCTACCGGGTACGCCACCGGCGATGCCTCGGAACCAGTCTGGGAGCCCTTCTACACCCGGAAGCGGGGGTATGCAGCCGATACTAACCCTTCGACAGCTCACGGAAGGCGCGCTAACCCCGCGTCAGCCAGTGGTCGATGACACAGGAGGAGACTCCACAAGTGAACGTCCACGGAGCGGGAGCAGGAGGCAGGGTAACCTAACCACCGAGGCGCACACCCCCATCGCCGCGACAAGCGCGACGCGGGAGATTCCGGTGCACGTGTCCGTCGAACGGGAGGAAAGACCCGGTCCGGCAGGAAACGCAGGAAGAGGCCCTCTGCTAGTGTCACGGGTGGGTGCCTACCCAACCTCGAGAGCAAGCTCGAGGAGGAGGATTACTACAAGCAGCAGAGCGAGGCCAGGAGGGAGGCCACGGCTCGTAGAGATCGCGAGATTGCCGAGGACGAACGGCGACGATCAGAGGCCGGGAGGAATCACCCCGTTGATACTCGGCATAGGAGCCACGGCGGGAACCCAAGACAAACCAGTCATCTGCCAAGCAAGCGGAATGCGGGTAGGAGACTTTCTGCCCCGGCGGTGCTACCTGTAGGCCAACCAACAGGCAAGAAGNAGCTGCAGAGCGAGGCCAGGAGGGAGGCCACGGCTCGTAGAGATCGCGCGATTGCCGAAGACGAACGGCGACGATCAGAGGCCGGGGGGAATCACCCCGTTGATACTCGGCGTAGGAGCCACGGCGGGAACCCAAGACAAACCAGTCATCTGCCAAGCAAGCGGAATGCGGGTAGGAGACTTTCTGCCCCGGCGGTGCTACCTGTAGGCCAACCAACAGGTTAGAAGCGCAAAAAGGCGTGCGGCCGTCAGGAATGCGGTTGGGTTACACACTACGCTGGCACCGAGTGGAGTGTAGTGCACTCGGCCGACGAGAGACTATGTTCGGCATGCCACAGGTTTCCGGACGACGAAGGTTTCACGTACCTCCGCCCGGACCGGTTAGGGCGAGCTGTGACCTTCTTAGCCGCGTTGAGACAAGGAGAGAAACTCCTGCCTCTAGCTCTCGTGCGAGACTTTAGTCCTAGCAAGGACTGCCTCTGCCAACGCCCAGACTGCTTCCTAGCTATTTTCGCCGAGAAAGAAAGGAAGGCAGAGATTCGCCAATGCAGTAAATGCAAGTACCGGAAATCGGACAGGAGCCGCGTAAGGTGGTATCCCATGGATGCTGCAGGAGATCATGTCGCGGAGGGNTGCCTCTAGCTCTCGTGCGAGACTTTAGTCCTAGCAAGGACTGCCTCTGCCAACGCCCAGACTGCTTCCTAGCTATTTTCGCCGAGGAAAGGAAGGCAGAATCTCGCCAATGCAGTAAATGCAAGTACCGGAAATCGGACAGGAGCCGCGTAAGGTGGTATCCCATGGATGCTGCAGGAGATCATGTCGCGGAGGGTAATGCGATGGTGAGTGATGGTGATTGGTGGTGCGGCCGTTGCTACCAGAGCCGGTTGAACGGCATGAAGAGAGACGACAAACCGACAGAGGAACAAGCGGGGGACGAGGCGCCGACTCTTCTAGAGCCTTTGAGCACGGTGCGCAGGATGGTGGATGACGTCCTCGGTCGAGGTGAGATCCTTTGCTGGCAGGACGTCGCCGGTTGGCTAGCTGCTGAAGGCGCGAAGGTTGGCATGGCGGAGATAACGGGGAAGTACGCACGACAACTCGTCCTGGACTTGTTTACCGGGATGGACGCAGACCCCGGGAGCAAATCACGATTGGTCCGAGCCGACGGAGCGCAAGGAGACGCACGCGAGCGGGAACTCTTCCTCTTCCCAAACACCCTTGGGGACAAGCATCTCGTTGACTTAATGCTGCGTGCTCGACGTAGTGCACCCGCACAGCCACCATCCAACCAGCTAGCTGATAAGGGTGGGTCTCTCGAGTCGATTCTGAAGGAAGTCGAGAAGGACACGGAGGACGCAGACGCACGGATGTCCGTCGTGCGGGCAGCTGGTAGAATNAGGAACTTCCTCTTCCCAAACACCCTTGGGGACAAGCATCTCATTGACCTAATGCTGCGTGCTCGACGTAGTGCACCCGCACAGCCACCATCCAACCAGCTAGCTGATAAGGGTGGGTCTCTCGAGTCGACCTGTCCGTCTTTTTTTTCCTTGCGCAAGAAGGCAGAACGAGGTAACGCCATCTTCCGGTACTGGCAGAATGGCCTGAGGGAGACCATGCCGGTGACAGAGTTTGCCGGCAAAGGATGGAGCGTCGACCCACGAGGAAAGGGGAGCGACGGCGACGAACTCACAAAGGAGAACTTCGTGCTTGACCTGTCCGAGTATGCTTACATCGCCCCTGACCGAAAGACAGTGACGCTAGCGTGTGNCCGGTGACAGAGTTTGCCGGCGAAGGATGGAGCGTCGACCCACGAGGAAAAGGCAGCGACGGCGACGAACTCACAAAGGAGAACTGCGTGCTTGACCTGTCCGATGTTGCTTACTTCGCCCCTGACCGAAAGACAGTCACGCTAGCGTGTGGTTGCAATCCAGACACGGCCCTGTGCAACAGGTGCAGGTGCAAGAACCAGAAGTGCTCGCTCGCTTGCGGATGCAGAAATCGTTGCACCCTACGGCGGGCGGTGCCGGCACCCGTGCGAGCAGGGGGGAGGTCTGCGTCACGGCCTACGGTGGGTGCTCCTCAAACGAGGCGGGTAGAGGGTACCTCCCGACCCCAACCACCCACCGAGAGTCGATCACCGCCATCCTACAGTGTTGCCAATGCCATGGCACTCTTTGCCGCCTCTATGAGGCAGCAGGAATCGCATGGAGCGGAACAGAACGACGTGGAGGCGGGAACCCCCGAGTCGCCTGCGAGCAACAACGTTTCCGCCGGCGAGGCCGCGGAATCTACGAACGCAGAGTTGGAGGACCCCGAGTCGGACGAGAAGTGCGACGGTTCGGTCGGTGCACTCGACGATTTGATCCAGTTGGATTCGAGCGAATCTGGTTCCAGCGATGGGGAATCTGACGGGGTGAGCGAGAAGAGCGTCGATTCCAACTGGAGTGGCGGAGACACAGATGATGGTGTTGCGGANATGTGGTCTGATTTATGCTTACTCCATTGTTGATGGTTGAACAGGTCCGTCCGTGCTTCACTTCCGTTGGATGCATNAGCGGAGACACAGATGATGGTGTTGCGAATCTCGTAACCGACGCCTAGAACTGAGATCTGGCTACTTTTTCAGGCAGGTACATATATCGTTCCTTGGGATTGGGGTTGGGGATGTCGTGCCCG